TTTTCATTGATAATGGGAACTAATGTTACACAACCAATAATGAAAAGTTGCAATGAACTAGTTGAACGTATACGATTTTTGAAGCCTGTTGTCATGGAAATCTCTTTATCGCAGTGTTCAATGATATTTAGCTTCATCTCTTTAAGACCACGTGATACTAAGTAGAGTGTTGACTCTATACAGTGGAAACAATAATCTCAGCTATTAGTCCATAAATACCTGACTTGATCCGAGGAAAGCTTTCAGCGATGGGGGATAAATTGAAAAGATATCTGAGCACTTTGAGTTTACGACTACTATGGTGTCTAGTCGAAACATTAATCCCTAAGTTATGTGTCGTATAGAGCTGTTTACGTGTCATCTGGCACCTCACAACGGGCTGAGTTGTATATGAACTTGTTGCCTAATGGAATTTAAAAGGCACCTTATATAAAGCTTGTTGGTTATGTGTGGGCGCCACAATTGCTTGATAAACGACTTTAAACTATCGCTAAAGATTGCGAACAAATTTCATCGGGTAGCTCGTTCCTTTTTTTTATCTCTTTTAATGTTAATGTCCTGTGTTCCTTTTTAAAATTTACTTTGGTGATAAGTATCAATTATAGAATAATTTAATCAATTTCCATTTTTTGTGCGCAATGATTGTTCTTCATTCGGAAATTTATCATGACTTTTTTTACTATTGAACAAACCTATGATTTTCCGAAATAAAAATGTCCTCTTCTTCAACTTGAGTACCCAGTCTTTTTATGTCTTAAAAGGAGCAATGAGTTTCTTATTCAGGATTGTTCCAACAACCCACGAGGGGAAACATCACGTGAAAGCAGTTTGACAGGTACAAGAAACGACGAAACACACGATCTGAAATATCTATTGGTCAAAGCTGGATCATGCTGAGAGTTAAAGTCACTCAAGTCCTGCCCTCGCTATGAGTAATACCTCATAATGTCCATATTCACAAAAATTGTAAAAAACTGCGGTCCGGTTCATCTTTCTGTTGGTACCTTTCGCTATACAATCTTTCTGCTGCTCCTGCATTTCCTTATCCCAATCTGTAAATCAGTTGCATGCCTGCTAGCTTGGTGTGCGCAAAACGTTACATACTGATCTGCGGGCGATGGCAGCTCAAATGCCTGCGGTAATGCAGGTCTCTTTCCTCCAATGCTCTTGTGAACAACCCCACCTTGTGCCGAATGAAGACGTTTCCGACTATGAGTTGCTTATGCCAATCTGAATTTTTGGGATGTTCCCTATCTCCCAATAATGTTTGTCCCAATAATCCTGGGACACCCTGTACAATGCCGCCCTAGCCGAGTGGTCATGAATTCATGGCCGGCAAGTCATGAGTTTGAATCTTGGTGTCACTGAAGACCCGTTGTGTAAAGAGGCTATTGTACGTTAAACTTATCATGGCTCAAAGTCCTCACGTTTGATATATGCTTGTCAGATGACAGCTCACATGACTTCCTCGAACGAGGTTCAGGATTGCAAGGCCCGTCGCCAACAGCTCTCGTGTCGCTTTAGAAGGCGACGTTAATCCAAAACCAATTTAACTCAACTTAAATTACAATGGTATTAGATGTGTGTGTGTGCATACTTTCATGTTTAGAAATTGTAATTTGGAAATTAAAAATTCCAAATAATTGTCATATTTGAAATTCTTCGTTATTTTTAAGTGTATATTTCACTCTTTTTATATTTTTATGAACTTGAATTACTTAAATTCCATTCACTATAGTTGTCAGATCATTATATTTGAATAATTTTATCAGCATGAACTGACAGGAAAATGAAATTAATATATAATACCGATTTTGTACTGCTTAAAAAATATTTTAAATGAACAACGTTTTCAGAAGCGTTTTCATGTGACATATATCTCCCATTTTAATTGCTTCATTGATTAAATCTGTTAAGTTTTTTTGTAATTAATAATCAGCACCAACTCCATTTCGTTCCCTATAAGCAATCAAAAATGCTTTTCTTTTTGTTTATACATTAAATTTCAGTCTGAGTAATAGGAAATATATTCATAAAGGCCATGTTTCTTCCAGCATAATATACGATGACATCCAATAAATTCTATATTCTTTATGACAACTGTGTGAACAAATTTAGATTTAATTTTTCTTGTAATATAATGAAATTGTTATAAATCGAAATGAATTCCTAAAATGTTTAATCAAAATCGAACATTATAGACAAGGTGTATATTCAAAATGTTTCATTTGTATAAGTGTATATTATTCGTATATTAAAAGTATATGTTTATTTTCAAATGAAAATAAACTTAATTTGTTTGAAAGTTGCTTTTCTATTCTTCAGAATTTTTTGTGTAAATTTACATAATTATTGAAAATCTAAATAGGATGAATAAATCATTTGAATTGCAAAGGGTTTCAGATTCGTTATATACTGATTTTTAAAGACGTGTGATGCATTATCGTGAAATTTGTTAATTTCTATTTCAATTTAAACTAAAAGTTGTGTATCATATATGCTCAACTCTGTTGAAAATATAAAAAATTTATTAAAGAAATAGCGAATGAAACACTAAAATTCGTGCATACTGGAATTAAATTTGATTCTATAAAGGAATCATCTGTGTGAATGCAAGAGATGCATTGTTAACTTATTTCTTAAAGAACCGTTCGAATGAAATAATAACCTAATTATTTTGAGTTAGAATTTACTTCAGTTCAAGTTTTCACGAACTTTAAAATGTTTTAATTCTGCTAAATAAGTATTCTTTTTAGCACAATGGGAAATGTTTGTTTAGTTGTTCAGTTTCGACATTTGATTCGTTAGTTCTAACATTTGCCACTCTATAGATATATGATAGGCAACATTTAATCGCTTTTCAAATTTGGGTGTATTTATTAAATATATATTTTGAGTATAAACACACACACACATTTACATTTTTTTCAGTAAACACGATAATAATGATTGCTTATGTGATATCAAAGGGAACTGATTTTATTGCTTAAATTATGCAATTATTGTTATTCCATTATTAAGCTTTTATTGTACTGTTCTAATTTTCTTTTTCCTGCCTCCCTTCTTTCTTTTTTTCCCCTATTTTCCTACCTTTTTGATATGCCATTTCAATCCGATAATTGCATAAGTACGTACTTTTCAATGGAGATTATAGTTTCTTTCGACAATTAATAAGGAAATCACTTTTTTCTGTATGATATTAAAAATGATTTTCTCTAAATTATTCAGTACAATTTCGATTTATATAGTTTCTTTTGCACCTATTTAAAGTGATGCAATTGTCGGTATTACACTATCTAAATGTAAACAGATGTAAATTCTGTTTCCCTGCATTAGTTCTCTTAGAACTGGATAAACAGTTTTACAAAACTGAAACGATACGCGCGAGTATTCATTCTGAAGCATACGTCATAGATATTTGCAGCCCTTTTTATTTTGAATGCACATTACATTTATGTGCTGTTTTGTAATTATCTTTATGTATGGGGTTTCTATATTTGGAAACTTCTAATTTTTGTCTCAATTTTTTTTTGTTGTTCTCATACGTTATTAGTTTGAAATTATTCTCTCAAATTGTCCCGAGAAGACATGATGGTTTCATTTTTTAGAGCCCCATGATAGACTTTATTGTTTAGCTGGATAGAGACAAAAAGGTAATCAAAATATATTTTTTTTCCTTTATTTAACGCTCTCTATTTTCTCAAGGAGCCTAAACAGAGGTGATATTTTTAGTGCTAATGACAGAATCGCCTGCTTTCTAGTAGTTGTGTTGTGTTAGGTTTTTACAACACAACTCTAAATGGCGTTTTTCAACTCGTGAAACTTTTTTTTTTTTGTTAACGCAAGAAAACATTGAATACTGTTTCACACGCACTCGGTCTCTTTTTAAAACTAGAAGCATTATATGAAAATATAACATTATTTTGTGTATGTGTATATATTTCTGTTGTGAAAACAGTTATTTTAAATGCTGGTAAAAAGTATTTAAAATTTTCTTTTTTTTGTTTGGATTTTTTAGAAGTTCTATATTTGTGATTAGGGAATTCACAATATTATTATTACTATTTGCAGCATTCATATCGAGTTAAAGTTCCCATGGAAACGTTATTCTTTTAAAGTTTTTTTTTCTGTCATTGGAAAGGCCGCGCTAGCCGAGTGGTATAGGTATCGGATCGTGACTTGCTTGGTCACGAGTTCGAGCCCAGTACCACTAAAGACCCGCCGTGTAGGGCAGCGATGCACGCTAAATCTGTCGAGAGCTGAAACGTCCTCCCGTTGGTGTGGTGTGGTAGTTAGGAGAGGGGGTACCAGCTCAGGTGTCGTCCACGTCACTTGACCATGGTTCAAAATGGTCCGTCGCCAAAAGCCCTCGTGTAGCTGAACAGTGCGACGTTAATATTCAATCAATCAATCAATTCTCATTGGAAAATTTTGAAAAATTAAGCATGAACTATGTATTTTTTGTGGAAGGATGCAATAAATATATTTCATTACTACAGAATTATCACTCATCTTGCTTTTGATGCTAACTAACCGCCCTGATTTTATAATTTTCACAGAGCATGAAGTATTAATGATTTTGTAGCGATTTTCCAGAGGGGTTATCCCATCTGTAGAAAAATATATTATATTCGGAGCTCTATTTTACGAACTTTTATCTAGAACCAAGAATATGAAGTATATTGTAAATGAATATCTGTTTAACGAATTTTGCACACAACGAACGTCTAGCAGACAAGGTAATGGACTCGTGGTTGGCGTGTCATGAGCTCGAACCCAGTGCCACTAAAGACCTACCGTGTAGGGGTGCGATGCACGTTAAATCTCAAACGTCCTCCCGTTGGTGTGGTAGTTAGGAAAGGGGTTAGTAGAGGATGACACTTGATGTTAATACAGATTTTTCAAATATTAATTCATTAAATAAATTAAATCATGAATAAATAGTAACAAAGACAAACAATTGTCCATCAGTATCTATAGAAAGGAAAATCGTTCATTGTGTCCCTGTAGAGCAGTGCATAGCGCGTTGGACTTCTAATCCAAAGGTTGTGGATTCGAATCCCACCTGGGATGGCTTAATTTCTGAAAATGGGATTTCTTTTTTACTATACTATTTTATTAGAATAATTTAATCCGTGAATAAATAGTGACAAAAATAATAGTCCAACACCCTATATAGAAAGGGAAATGAGAAAATTGTAAGAAAAATCGCTTTCTATTTTGTCACTTAATATTGTGATTCTGTCATACGTATATACATATTTATATTAATTGTAACTATTTAATAAAAATAACTAAAATAAAACTTTTCTTTATTGACCTAAGTAGGAATTGACTTAATTTTTTTTAAAGTAAAGCCTAGATAAAATTTGTCGCTTTAAAATAATTTAAATAATAAAATATGGATTGCACAAACGAATTTTCAAATTTAACGCATGACCTTTTTTATTTAAAAAAAAATAAAAACATTAACATTTCCAACGCTAAATAAAAAAAATATGTGTACGAATCTTTGTTGCCTTTTTGGCGGATTTTAAGCAAATACCGTCATTGACGTTCTATGCTTAGAAAAATGTTAAAATTAATTCACTCTAGTCAAATATTTGCTGATAGTGAAATGAGGCAAAAGAGATTTTGCATTTCGTAGAGTTTTCAGTAGCTTTCGTAGATTTTCTGTAAGTAATAAATTTATTTTTCATTTTTCATCTTTCTTGTTTGTTTTGAAAATGGAAACCTTGATTCGGGGTGGGGGGAGAGGATTTTTCTTATTGAAAATCATTTTCTCTCTCTTTCTTCCCTTTTTTTGAATAATAACCGCTTAAAATTAGTTTTAATTGATTGCTTTGGAACTAATAATTATTGTTCAATTTTTTAAAAATTTATTTTTTTGTTATTTAATCCATTTGGGGGAGGTAAAATCAAATCATATAAAAATTTATGCAAATTGGGAAACACGTTTTTAAAAATAGCTAACCTCTTTCTCTAATAAAGTGTTTTTAAGAAAAATTTAAATTTTTGAAAGAATTTAACTTTTGACATTGTCTTGATTTTTTTTAATTCAAAAAACTCTTTTGCGTTGGAGTAATCTAATGTTATACACTGCTGGACAATTGCTAAGGACGGATAACACTATCATCCATAGCAACCGCAAAGTGAAAGGAAGCAAAATGTGGAAAATTAGAATACGTGCGGGAAATTAGTAAGAAGTATGAGTATGCAAATTTTTTTTCCCACGTCTGTTCATCACGTGATAGCATTCATAAGAGCTTTAAAGGTTTTGACGCGTGTGGACAGTTGTTGTTTCAAGTCAAAGTTTTACAGGAAAGACTTAGTAGACGAACTTAAAATTTTTGGCATGTCTTCCCGACATCACATAGATGATTTTATGCGTGGCCGAATTATTGGAAGAATCGAAGAAGGGCGAAAAATAACAGATGTTGCCAGGGAGTTCGACATTGCTCACAGCGTTGTTTCACGGCTGTGGAAGTCATTTAAAACTACTGGAATGTGTAGTAGACGGCACGGGGGAGGTCGTGTTAGAAGTACGACGCCTGCAGAAGACAGATATATCGTCCTATCAGCAAAAAGGAGCAGGCGCACCACAGCTCAGCAGGTAGCAAATCAGTTTCTTGCTGCCTCAGGAAAGCAGATCTCCCGAAAAACTGTTGCCAGACGTTTGAGGGGAGGAGGACTATACGCACGCAGACCTGTTGTGTGTGTCCCATTGACCAGACAGCACCGTACTGCGCGTTTGCAATGGTGTCGTGAGCATCACAATTGGACTGAACAGGACTGGGTATGCGTACTATTCTCAGATGAGAGTAGGTTCAGTCTGTCATCGGATTGTAGACGCCAACTGATCTGGCGCGAGAGTGGTACTGCTTATCGTCCAGAAAATATCCAGGAAAAGGACCGATATCCGACATGCAGTATCATGGTGTGAGCCGGCATCATGATAAATGGCCGCACGCGCCTACATGTGGTTGCGAATGGGACTATGACGGGCCAACGATACATTGATGAAGTTCTACTTCCTCATGTTCGTCTTTTCCGTGGTGCTGTCGGTGATAAATTTGTTTTTATGGACGACAACGCAACATGTCATCGAACACTCGCTGTTCAGGATTGTCTAGACAGCGAGGGTATTCAACGTCTCGTATAGCTAGCGCGTTCTCCAAATCTAAACCCCATTGAAAATATGTGGGATGCTTTGGGGAGGCAAGTTGCTGGTCGAAACTATCCTCCGACAAACAAGAACACCCTCATCCGTGCACTCACAGAGGAATGGGATAAATTGCCTCAACAGCTGCTGGATAATGTTGTGCAAAGTATGGTACGACGTGTGGAATGTTGCATCACACTCCACGGTGGACATATCCCGTACTGATACCTTTCTTTAAGGTGCCTGCTGACTTTTAGATTCATTGCTCCATTTCTCCGTACGCAGATCAAATGAACTTTTTTTTCTTTCAGATGTTTCACAGCTTTTGTACTTTCCAGAACAATAAATATTCTTTATTCTAATGTCTGAACAGTGTGGCAACTATATTTTATCCTACTAGGCCTCATGTCTCGCTTAACGTTATGCTACATAGCAATTTGTGACCGTCCTTAGCAATTGTCCAGCAGTGTAATTCTTAAGAAAGTCTCGAAGTTATTGTATTTTTCACACGCACAATTACGTGGCCGCGGTAGCCGAGTGGTATAGGTATCGGATCGTGGCTTGCCTGGTCACGAGTTCGATCCCAGTACCACTAAAGACCCGCCGTGTAGGGCAGCGATGCACGTTAAATCTGTCGAGAGCTGAAACGTCCTCCCGTTGGTGTGGTGTGGTAGTTAGGAGAGGGGGGTGCCAGCTCAGGTGTCGTCCACGTCACTTGACCATGGTTCAAAATTACGTGGTCCGTCGCCAAAAGCCCTCGTGTAGCTGAACAGTGCGACGTTAATATTAAATCAATCAATCAATCACACGCACAATTACAACAAAGAAAAAGCAATTTTGTTATTCATCCAACAATAATTAAACTTTATACATATTAAAATTACGCAACAAACGATTTATTTTTTATTTCACTTAAAGTAGAGGGCCTAAATAATTTGTCTTTTAATACTACCGCAATTTTTTCCCCTTAACATGAGTCTTCGAGAAAAAAAAGGCCAAAGTTTTGACCTTTTTGCAGTACTAATAGTAACAAAAAGAGAACCTTGAATTTTTTTGAAACATTGACACGAAAAGAATTTTAATCTGTAAATAATTGCATGTATGGCGCAAAAAATTGAACAAAAGTCAGTTTTTGTATATTTTATTATTTTTTCTTTCACAATTTTTTTTTTTAAAAAATATTTAATAATTATGTTACTTCTTCGTAAATGATATTAGTATTTTTTAAATATTCTGGTAAAGATCGATGCAATATATTTTTTTCGGTAAAACTTAATGCTTTTATCAATAAGAAAGATTTTCAGAATGAAACGCAATAATGATCGAATTACATTATTGAAACTTGCTTTAGTTATCGAAAAATTCGATAGTTTAAAAAATGTTTCTTTTAAAAAGTATTGCTATTCTGTCTTTATTTTAAATTATTTTTTTCATATATGTAGCTTCATTTTATACTATAAACTTTCACAATTGGTTGAAGTAAAATTATCATTAAGCTTACATAATTGTTATTGGTATCCTTTTTGTAGAAATAATGAAAATTTAGAAAACTGATCTTTTAATGGTTGTACATCATTTAAAATTTTTTTGAAATTTTTGTGTGTTGTTGTTGTGGCTAATGCCACCTGTCTGACGTAGTCAGAACGAAGCCCACGAAATTCATCGTGGCATGGGCAAGAGGTACGCCTGTCGTTGGCCTTGAGCACCATACAGGTGACAGTGTGATTTAAGCTCGGAGAAACTCCCCGAAGGGACGATAGATGGCGACACGACCTCTATCTCCACCTCCACAATTTCTGCAAGTGAACTGAAGGGGAGGGAAATATTCTTCAGTTCCTGCGCTAGTGAATAAGCCCACAAGACTACGGACCCACAGATTTAACGAGCAAGTACTCCGTGTGCACTCGGAGGGTATTTGGTGACATTTTTGGAGAAATTTTTGTTCTTAAGTTTATTATTACTTGAGCTTAACGTAGCTTAATGTAATTTGAAAGAGGATATTTTTAATTTCTTTATGGGAAATCTCTCTCTCAGTATTGTAGGATTGGATATGTGCAATGTCACAACCCCTCCCCCTGTTACTTAGGGTGGAGTAGTCCACACTGACGTCACACCCCGCCAGGAATGTCTGACTAAAAGACACACGGGAAATGACGCAGACGGACGTTAGGGACGCTGAACTCTAGACGTAGGAGAAAGACGTTCTTCATTGCTGTTTAATATATTTTAGATATTTCATCCTTCATCTTGTTAAATAAAGCATTTATCATCTTTAGGTTGTAGTCATTTTCCCATATTTTGGGGGCTCGACCGGCATAAACCTCTTCTGTGTTAAAAATGAATTTTACATTAAAAAATAACTCATTTTTGGGTTGTTTTTGTTCTCACAAACAATTTTTGTGGAGTGTAGTAGTTATGAGCACGAACCATAACCATTAGGCTACCACTCATGGCGGGCGTGTCGTGGGTTTAAATCCTAGTACCACTGAAGTCCTGCAGTGTAGAGGGTCTGATGCACGATAAATCTGTCGAGGCCAAAGTCCTCCTGTTGGCGTGGTGTGGTAGTTTGCAGAGTGGGGTGCCAGCTCAGGTGTCTTGACCGAGGGTCGAAATTACGAGGTACGTCACAAATAGCCCCCATATTACTTAAGAGTTTGACGTAAATTAAAATCAAATCACTGAATTGTTTATATGCTTCTAAGTTTTAATTATAAAGAATAACCTATGATTTAAAATTTTCAATTATTTTTTTTCTTATTATTTTTTTTAACTAATATTTATTTTAGTAACTAAAAAAATAACAATGCAATAGAGCATTTTTTAAAGTTTTTTTTTTCATTTGTCGAATAATGAAATTATGTATGCGAAATCCGATGTTTACTCTGCAGAAGGTCGACAATTCCAAGCGAAC